GTTAGAAGGTGCAGGAATCGGTTCAGATGGCAGAGGAGCAGACGAAACTGAAGAAACGACTCGGAGCCCCATTCCCGTGATCGGAACTCACGTGACCGCGGCCAACAAGCTTCCAGCCGCGTTCGTGAGCATCCTGACCGCGGCAAAGCCCTCTTCACCCGCGGTCGTGGAGCTTCTACCCGCGGCCAGCACTCCTTCAGATGCCTTTCAGCCCTTTTCAACTCCTACAGGTCAATGCTCATTTGATACATCTGCTGGGATGGTCAAAACCCCTTTTCAGGAGCAGACGGTGTATGCTATCAACTCCAAAACATCTCAAGAAGAAAACGAGGTACTCCCTTACAACATAGTCTTAGCATATGAGGACGAATATGAAGGGCACTACCTCGAAGATGAAGACTATCGCCTGTTCATAGAAGGAGGGAATCCAGACAAAATGATGGAATTGAGAGCACCAATCTCCAGAGAAAGGCTCATTGAATTCAACAGGTTTGTGAAATCAATCCCTCTTTACACAGGTTTCGATGATATATGGCATCTTGGTTGTTTGCAAGTTTTCTTTAGGTACAGCAAGGAGACAAAGGATGATATTCGAACCTACTTTTGGAGGGCCAGACGTCTGACTTTTCCCAGAACATCACCTGATGCTGCTGTTTATTCAATCCACCTCCAAAGACCGGAAGACTGCAGCCACTACACCAACAAAATCAGCAAAGAAAAGCTCGATGAATTCAATGATGTGGTTCGAAATTTACCTGAAGGAATCACGTTTGCCAGAGCTTGCAAGGACTTCATGATAGGCCACTACTTCTGTGAGAGCAAAGAATCAATCCCTGAGATAGAAGACTTGTTCAATCATGCCAGAAAAGGTAAACCTGTTCGAACACTTCATAAAATAGAAGGTGTAGGTCAGTTTCTTATCTCTTTCTCTATTAGAGGAGAAATGTTTAAAAACGTGCTATGTGATTCTGGAGCTTGTCTTAACATGATGTCCAAGGCAATTGCTTTGAGACTTGGTATTAGACACCTGCGCAGGACTAGAGCAAAGATTAGCTTAGCTGACGATTCAAATGCAACACCTCAAGGAATAGCTCATGAAATTCCTTTGAGAATAGGAGATTGCATTGTGCCTGTCGACTTCTACATTGTCGAAACGAGAGATGCAACATATCCAGTGATTCTCGGATGGTCTTTTCTAGCAAATTCCGGAGCTACAATGGACTGGCCAAACCGGAGGATTTCATTTGCTAATATCGACAAAGATGTCTTCACAGAAGCTGTCCCATACAACAGCAAACCAGGAAAACGTTCTGCAACTGAAGAGTTTGAAGAAGAACTTTGGAGTGACGAAGAACCTGCTAAGCAAAGCAAGGAGATGTCGAAAAAGACTTGTCTCAGGACAAGGTCTTCTTCACTGGAATAAGTCACGTCCAGCACCAAAAGTCGAGCTAAACGACTTAAAACAGAAGCGCTTAATGGGAGGCAACCCATTTAGGTATTGTTTTCTTTAGAATTTTTCTTTCTTTTTCTTTTGATCTTTTTCTTTTTCTTAGTTTCAGGTGTTTCTTATAAAAGAAAAAGCCAAAAAAATCAAAAAACCAGAAAAGACCAAAAAGAAGGACGGTACCTGACTGCTCGGCCCAGCAGGAACCAAGGAGAAGCAGGAAGAGGCCGCGATATAAGCCCCCGCGGTCGCAGAAGTTCTGACCGCGGGAAACTACTCATCGACCGCGGTCGCGTAGTCCTGACCGCGGCCAAGCACTTGGTTGCCGCGGTCGTGCAGCCCCTGACCGCGGCACTTGGTCGTTGAGATCCAAACCCGACCCAAACCACCCCTTTTACCCCATTCCACCTCACCAATCACCCTCCACCTCATTCATCACCATCCACCACCTTAATCACCACCTAATCACCTTCCCAAACCCCTTCGAATGAATCCGGTTCATCTCCACCAGCATCCCGGATCCAGGTAATTTCTCTTTGTCCTTACCAATTCGATTATTTATGCATTTTTGTCATCCAATCTCGACTTGTTTCACACTGAGGACAGTGTGATTTAAGTCTGGGGGAGGATTTCATCCCTTTCTAACCACTTTTCTTTCATGAGTCTTGCATTATCTACATTTTTTGCATTTTCCTTAAAGTTTTTCAAAATCGGTTTTCAAAAAAAAATACGTTTTAAAAGGGAATGGTGAACATGAATCAATGATAGTTGACTGTGTGCTTTTAGACTGTTCCTAGTGACATGCTCATTCATGATTTAGGACTAGACTAGGCGGTAGCTAAGCACATTTGAAACAAAGTACCCCAGAGGAATTTGAATGATTTCGATTTGGATGATGGGATACACTAGCTCTGTTTTATTTGGACTTAATTTTCTCATTGAAGCATTAGACAAGGGAAACGAATTATACATTCAGGACTCCTTTATCCTTTTACCACTCTCTGTTGATCCTGAATGGCTAGTTCATCTTTAGCTAGTTCCCCACCTTAACCAATCCTCTTTCAAACCACATGCACTCTTGTTTTCTATTGTCTTATGTGCAGATAAGTGCAAAAACGTTGGAGAGAAAGAGGAACAACGCAGTTTTCAGTCACCAAGGACAGAGACCTGCGATTTGCCAGAAAAGTTCCCGGAAGGATTCAATACAAGAGAAGCTCAGTTTGCCTTAGAAAAATCTCAAATTTTGGTACAATCTCGTCCTCTAGTCTCTCTCTCTTTAAAAGGCATTTCCTTTCCCAAAAAAAAAAAAAAAAAAATCCGAAAATAAGAAAAGAAAGGAGATAAAAGCCTTAGAGAGTCTAGAGAGGTCGAATTTTAAGTCCCAAGGCAACTGGAGTTTGATTTTATGGAGTTTTGGAGATTGTTTTCTGATTCCCGGAAAGAATCTAAGTCTGGGGGAACAGCTGTTTACAACAAAGGAGGAAGGATTATGCAACAACATTTGGCAAGAAGAAGTGACTGAAAACTGTGGTCATCAACAAGTCCTTATCTCTCTTGCTGTTTTGCATATTATCTTGCATCCTCCAGATCTTCAGGTAACCCGAAACACTTTAACTCCACCACTTAAACAGCCCTTTAATGCCAAACGCCGTCAACCCTGGATGATGTCTTTAATGAGAACTCACTATTGAACTTAATGAATGTAGAGAGCTAGTTGACTGAAATCAAGATTTAAATTGTTTAAGTTTTGCATGACGGAAAAAGTGGACTAGTATCTCTTGTGCATTAGTGAGAATTTTCTAGACTAAGTTGTGGATTGATGCACTATCTTTGGTCCTAGTTTAGGAGTTCATGTCTATGAGATTTGTGCATTCCCTATTTTTATTTTCACTTAACCAGTTTAGGCTTTTGCTTTGTTTGAGGACAAACAAAGGTTTAAGTCTGGGGGAGTTGATAACACCGTATTTTGACCACTTTTATGGATCGTTTTGAAATACTTTTTCTATGTTTTTAATTGCTTTTAAGTACTTTTATTACGTTTTTCTAGTATTTGTAGTTCCAAGACTCTTTTCAGGTAACTTAGGGAAAAACTTAACAAAATGGATAGAAAACCAGATTTCAGCTCAGAGTCAAACCGTCAGAAGTTCACCCCTGATTGAAGGCCTTCTCACCGTCTGATCCAGCTCAAATTTGGAGACCTTAAAGATGGAAGTATCAGCTTTCCAGTGCACTTTACAGCTTGGCAATCCAACGATTCAATCAAAAGATACGCGAAGAGCAAGATGTCCCGTAAACCAGCTGGCCAGCACTTCCACCCGCGGCCAACAAGCACTTTCCCGCGGTCAGGAGCATCCCGACCGCGGCAAACCACTCATCCACCGCGGTCACACTTGTCCCGACCGCGGCCTTCAACCTCGGAGACCAAAAAGCCCATTTCTGAAGCCCACATTTGGAGAAACCCTAAGTGACATCCAGAGAGGTCTTGAGCACTATAAATACATGTCTTAGGAGCCCTAGAAATCGTACAACCTTAGAGACCACCGAAATATTTACTTCATATTCTTATTGTTTTTGCTTTAGCTTTTAGGGAGAGAGAGATTTGTTCTCTTGAACCCTTGTTCTTTCTTTATCAATTTCGGTTTCTATTCTACTTCTTAATATTATGTCTTTGATTTCGTTCATTATGTCTGAGTAGTTTTATTGTTGGGATTAAGGGATTTTCGATGGGGATTTATATGTTCGGTGAGGATTCCATTGGCTATTGAGCTGAATCTTAGAACTTTTTCTTCTGAATTCGTTTTTACTGCATGAGAGTAGCGTCATGAACTACAATCTGATCCAGATGCTTGGTGACACGAAAGTGTTCATCAGGTATCAGATCTAGTTTAGAAGAGCAAAACAAACATAGGAGTGGAAACCTACCTATGGGCGATTTGTGAATTAGGACGAGTCTTAAACATAATGCATCTCTTCTCTTCCAGGGCCAGAGTGGAAACCTACTGGTCAGGGTTGAGAGAGATAGTTGTCTATGATCACGACAGTGGCGTATTCATACGTCCGTGACTCCAGTTCGAAAAGTTTAAGCTAAGATCTTACAAAATTTACTCTCTAGCAATGTTTTGAATCGTTCGTACCCCTGAGAAAACTTCCCTGAACCCCAACGCCTTTTTCTCCATTGATTTCCTGCGATTTTTCTTTAAGCTTTAGTTCAATATTGTCTTTCCTTTTTAGTTCATTTTCATTTAAGCATTAGAATATCCGTTTTTATCATTTTTAGTTATTTTCGTTAAGTTTAGTTATTACGCCATTTAATTTCCGTACTCTCTTTTAATATTTCGTTTTTACATTTTAAAGACACCACCAAACCCCCATTAAACCGGTTAATTCTAGACTTCCTTACTTTAACTTATTTTCAAAGGCTTTTTGCAGCAAAAGATCCTCCTTCCCTGTGGATTCAATCCCTAAGTACTACAATTGATCAGCTGTGCACTTGCAGCTATTGATTTCAATTAGGGTAAAACTTGACAACCCTCGACACCACACATCAAGACCCACATCAGGCAGTTGGTCCTGGGATCAGCATTGTCACCATTATGTTCTCTGCCTTCATACACATTGTTGGAGGCATGTTGTAATTTACTAGCAAAACCGGCCATGTACTGTACTTGGTGTTCTGAATAGAGAAGGGATTAATCCCATCAGTTGACAGACCGAGTCTCAGGTTTCTTGGTTCAGCAGCAAACTGAGGCCATTTCGAATTAACTTGAGTCCATGTTATCGAGTCTACAGGGTGCCGCATGGTACCATCTTCAGAAGCATTGTTGAAGTGCCATTGCAAATTCTCAGCCATCCTTGTAGATCTAAACATTCGCTTGAATCTGTTCTTGATAGGGAAATATCTAAGTACCTTTGCTGGAATTCCCTTCTTTTCTTCGCCAGTGTGCTTATCCTTTTCCCATCTCGAGGCATTACATCTTGGGTAGCTGACCTTATCTTCATATTGCTTCCGATAGAGGATGCAATCATTCTTACACGCATGAATTACATCATACCCAAAACCAAATACCTTCAAGAATTTCTTCATGTCATCTGTCGATGTTGGAAGAACATTGTCACCAGGCAGCATGTCATGGACGAGAGTCAGAAGCTGATCAAAGTAATTTTCTGACATCCCACTCTTTACTTTTATGTGGTAAAGTCCCATAAATTTTGGTCTTCGCGGTTTACAATGACATAGCGTTTTCGACCTATTATGTTATTAAAGGCCATGCTATAAAATCAAAATCCAAAAAAAAATAAAGCGCGTTTTACAATTTGGAATCCCGCTAAACTATCCATAACGTTTACAAAAGTACTCACGCTATGTAAAAGACATGGTTATATTATTCATAGCAGATATAAATAAACCGCTATAGTATTATGCTATTGAAAGTGGATATTCTTGTAGTGTCTGCACTGCTATTCCAATATTTTACTCTCTCCCCTGTCGCAAGTCGATCCCTAAAGGCCAGCCAAGTGATAAAAGAGTACTTTGGGGTTGACTGCGGGAACCAGACCCCTTTGTACCAACTCATTTTCGGTTTGCTCACTCTGATTTGTTTCCAGGTTTTCTGAGAACTGAACTTCCCCTTGAACGTACCCGAGATCCCCTTCCATTTAGCAATGTCCCTTTCATTTGGTGTTCTTTGTCGTTCAACCTGCTGCAACTGCTCTTCAATCTCTTTATACACCCTTCGTCTATGTCTCCTCCTACGAGGCATGTCCAATGCATCCCCAACTGTTGCCTGCAGTGGTATTCCCAAATCAATAACACCACGTTCCCCTGTTCGCTGCAACAGACACCCAAGCTCACACCAAGGATCATGCCAAAAAGAAGTGTTGCTCCCACTTCTAATTTCCATCGCATAAAACTGTTTTGCCAGATGTCTATATTTCAAAAAAAATTTCCACATCCATGATCCCAGGGATGTGGTATGCTTTACTGTCCATAGAGATCCTCCATGTATGAGGTGCTTCTAGACCCAGTTAACCCACATCGACTGACTCGTTGACTGAATTCTCCAAATTAGCTTAAGACAGCTAACTTTGTTTGTCTCTGTTATCGATCTTAGTCCTAACCCACCTTCGTCTTTTGGAGTGCAGATGTCTTTCCAAGCAACCTTAGCCTTTTTAGAATTTAGAGCCGGTCCAGACCATAAAAAAGCGGAACAGAGTCGATCAATCTCAGTGATGCAAGCTTTGGGAAGTCGGAATGCTGCGATCCAAAAATTTTTGATACTGAATATAACAGATCGGATTAACTGTAACCGCCCCGCGAAAGACAGTGCACGCGCTGTCCATGAGTTGATTCTGTTTTGGATGTTTTCAATAAGAGGAAGGTAGTCCGTTGCATTCATTTTCCGAATCAGCAATGGTAACCCAAGGTATTTTACCGGAAGCTCACCATGATCTGATGAGGCCATTCAAGCTGAACCAGAGTTAACCGAGCCGCAACTACAAGATGTAGAAGTACCAATCATTCATCAAGGGCCAATAACAAGACAAAGAGCAAAGGTCCTTCAGCACAAGTACAACCAAAGCATGTTACAAGCCATATCTCAAGTGGATCAAACAAGGCCACAAGAAGACCAAGAAAATGAGCCGCATAATGAAGCCCATCAACAACAAGCTTGGACTGGATTACTTGAAGAATGCCAAGAGCTAGCAAACGGCCCAGCTTCAAAGAATCAAGATGTCTGGCCCCTTTTGCCAAATCAAGCCCAAGTCTTCATGCTGACCATCTCGCCAATGCACCAAGACACTTAGGAGGGAAGATTCAAACTCGGTCAAAGCCACACATGTCTCAGCCACCAAATAAGGTAAGTGTTCAATCAAATTTCAATTCTTTGACTAATGAGTTTCTCTTGTCTTTGGTCTTATGCAGAGACAATTTAGTTAGTCTTTTATTTCCTTTTTTTGAGTCTTTTAATTTAGCATTTTAAATTTACAAGTCCTGTTGTTTTGAGTCATTACTTTTAAAAGTCTTGTTGTTTTGAGTCTTTTTATTTCTTTGAGTCTAAGCTGCTAGGACCATTATATAAGGTCCCATTACAGCCTTGTAATTTCTCACCTTTCATATCAATAGAAATCAAACTTTCTTCAAACCAGTTTTCTTTGAGAGAAACTTGTTTAACCCTTTGCTCTAGTTGAGACCAGTACCTCATTGATCAAAGTTCTTGTGTTTTATCACAAGTCTTACACAACTTGTGTGGTACACTTCGATCCACCTTGTCACTTAGCCACCATATCGATTCACTTGTCAAGAGTTGCTCATTCATTTGAATCAATCCTTGGCCATCGACCTAAAGCTTTGCTTCCGATTCTATACAAGTCCTTGACAGCTTGGTGCTTGTATCATATTTGGTATCAGAGCTGAAGTTCCTTCAGCCCAGGTTTTATCTATCTATTTACATCTTTTTATTTCTGTTTAATCATTTGCTTCTTGTCTTATTCATTTTGTTTAAAAAAAAAATTCATATTTCATTATCGTTTCATCCAGTTTCATTTGTCATATTCATTCTGTTAAAAAAAAAAAAAAAAGAAATTTAGTTTACATCATATCATCTTGTTTGCATCATATCATCTTGTTTGCATCATGTTCCATTAGTTGATCACTAAGTTATTTTATCATTAAGTTAAAAAAAGAAGAACTCATCATAACATCTCATTCTCGTTGCAGTTAGCTTCATTATTCATCAGAAATCATTGTTCATTGTTCTAAGTTTCTGCATCAAAAAAAAGTCAAAAAAAAAAATTAGCCTGATTTATTGTGTTGATTTTCCAAGTTTAAGTGCATTAGTCAATCCTTCCTTTTCTGTGCCAATCACGTCTAAACTCATTCTCCAGACAACATCTTTTCCTTAATTATATCAATTGAAATCTGTCATTTTTAAGTTAAAAAAAAAAATTGAGAAAAGCATATTTACATTTTTTTAGAATTTCCAAACTTGCCATATTTGTGTCTCATTATTTCTTGATTGAGACTAAGCACTTTTTTTTTCTCTTGTGCTTTTGTTTTGCGAGAAAAACAAATTCCATAAGCTACTATGGGAGAGGAGAGCAGCAACGCACAAGACCCTCTTCACCAATTAATAATCTCCATGAGAGACGAGATCAAAGCATTGAGGCAAGACTTAGCCGTGTGGAGCAAGCACCGAGGGTAACTCTACAGACAACTCGCCATATTGGAGGATTAGGAACCAGCCTCAACACCACTCAGAACACCGGAACCAATCCAAGGCACAACGGAGTGCGCATCAACGAACCACACATGACCGAAGACGACTCTTCTCAAGATGAAGAGCCAAACCCTAGGCGTCAAAGACACCGCAGGCAAAGGCGACGTGTGCCACAAGACGATTATGGAGATGCTGATGACGAAGAGTATACACCTTACTCTAGACCGAACCAGAACCACATCAAGCTGACCGCACCTAACTTTGCTGGAAAAGTTGATCCGGAGGCTTATCTAGACTGGGAGAAGAGGATGGATCACATCTTCGACTATTACAATCACCCTGGTCCAAAGAGAGTAGCACTAGCAGTGGCTCAGCTCACTGATGGTGCACTTACATGGTGGGACAGAGAAGTGTCAGACCGCAAGAGGAGCCGCTTGAGAGCTATTGATACATGGGTCGACATGAAAGACTTGATGAGGCAAAGGTATGTTCCCCCTCATTTTTATAGAGACTTACAGCGTCGTTTTCGAACTCTTAAACAGGGAACCAGGACTGTAGAAGAATACTATGAAGAGTTTGAGCGCTTGTGGAATCGTTTGGAGCTTCATGACGACGAAGAAGCTCTAATGGCCCAGTTTCTTGATGGTTTGCAAGAGAGGATCAGCCGCAAAGTGGAGAGACAGGTATATCAAGACTTCAAAGATCTTTTCCATTTGTCTATACAGGCAGAACATCACATCAAGAAGAAGATCACCAACACCAGAAGCAAGCCACAAACCACTTGGAACTCCAACTTCAACAAACCACTCGACAAAGGCAAAGGTGTGGAAATTGATTCACGTTTCAAAGGCAAGGCGGTTGAAACAAGCAAAGACACCAGACCAGAGGCAGGTAAGACTAATAACCCTCAGCGTGCAAGGGATATTACTTGTTTCAAATGCAGGGGAAGAGGTCATATGTCTCGTGAGTGTCCAAACAATCGAGTGATGCTCATGACCGAGGCTGGAGACTATGAGTCACATGATGAAGCTGATGTTCAAGAAGATCAAGGCGATGAGTATGGTGACATAGCTTATCCAGACACAGGAGAGCTCCTTGTCACTAGACGTGTATTAAGTGTAATGGTGGAGCCAGCCGAGACCATACAAAGAGAGAACATCTTTCACAGCCGTTGCACTATAAAGGGGAAGTTATTTAATCTTATTATTGATGATGGGTCTTGTACTAATGTTGCAAGTGCTCACATGGTTGATAAGCTAGGTGATATGTTCATAATTTGCATCATTTAGGTTGCATAAATCATCCCAAATCATGTTTTATTTCATGCATTTTAGGTCCTTAGGGTTTATTTTAGAACTTAGGAGATGCATTAGGTCCCAATGAGTCTTTGCATATTTTGAGTGTCTGTCAGGTGAATATGGAACTGAAAAGATGAATCCAGGAGGTGGAATGGTGAGCAAAGCTTGAAAAAGTGGAAAAATCAGGTCTTGGGAGATTATCGGCCATTCTCGCTGGCCAGGAAGGTTTTACCGGCCATTTTCATGTACCGCGGGAAGCTTTACCGGCCATTTTCACGTACCGCGAATGAAGTGTATCGGCCAAAATCTCCGGGTGTGAACGAGTCTCAGAAATCGCCTGTCCGGGGAGCCTTCCGGTCCGATTCAGACGGCGGGTCCTTCATAGAAGTTGGAGAGCATTGGAGCACGGTCTCATAGCAATTGGAATCGTGGAATTCGGACGCGTGAGCAGAGAGATAAGCTCGTGGGAAGAAACCCCTGTCTCGCAGGTATTCCGGACCGAGCAGATCAGTTCTGAAGGATGCGAAGGACGGTGCACTTCCAGACCGATTCAGTTTCCGCGGCCTTCATGAGAATCAGAGACATTTGAGTCTTCTTTCCAGAACAACCGAGATCAGTCAATTCAGAGCTTTGAGCAGAAAGATACGGTCTCCGGAATGGACACATGTCTAGACGCTTCTCTCTGGTCGTGTAAATGCACTTCAAAGATGTTCCCTCCAGGAAACCTTACACTTCCCAAGCACTGAAACTTCCTTCATCAAAGTTGGAGATAAATGAGTCCTCTGTCTTCTGAAACCGGAATCACTCAATTCGGACAGGTCTCCAGGAAGTTACACTCTCCGGAATGCGAGATGGTCCAGACAGCCCAGGATGACTAAGTTAAACATGCCACGGTATGAAGCTTGGCCGTGGCAACATCTTGCAACCTTCGGCGATTGGCACGAGCTGAATGCCACGGTCTAGAACTTGACCGTGGCAAATGAACAAGAGGCTGGAGATAACTTCTACACAGTTTCGGCTTTTGACACGATCTCAATGCCACGGCCTGAGACTTGGCTGTGGCAAGCATATACTTGGCTGGGAAGGTCCTCACATGCATGCGAGTTTTGGCACGGTGTGAATGCCACGGTCTGGAGGCTTGACCGTGGCAACCTCTACACATCTTCGGCGTTTGACACGGTTAACTTGCCACGAGTCCCAGATGAAGCTTGATCAGACCGCGGCAACAAAAGGAACCAAGAACACAAGTAAAAACTTTGACACGGTCAGGAATGCCACGGTCACACCAAGGATGCACCAGACCGTGGCAAACCCTTCTTTGCCCATCAAGGCCGGGTCAGTACCCGGTTTGTTCCGGGTTGACCCGGTTCGCCCAAGCCTCCTTTATAAGGTTTTTAGACCTAATTTTTGGGGAGAACTTAATCTACTTTTAGTCTTTTTTCCCCCTTTTGTGAAAAACCACTTAATACACTTTGTTCTAGAGAGTTTAAATCGATTTGCAGTTTCTTTCCATCTTGTTCATCATTTCTATTCATCAAAATCAACTTCTAATCATGATTAACAACACATCTTGCAAAGGATCTAGTGTGTTGATCATGATTAGTGAGTAGTTACCTTAATGAGGTTCTAGATGTGTAGGTTAGGGAGCTAAAGTGTTAGATTAGGAGTGCTTAGGGCTAGATTCATTGGTTCATTTCTCTAAACAACTGTTCTCTATGCTAGATCCTTGATAATCACTTGAAATCTAGATTCTGGGAATTTCATGCACCAAAAGTGTTTGATGAAATTCCTGAAAGAGTTGTGTTAGAGGTTTAAGTAATTTTTCATCATAGGAATGATTTGTTAAATGCTTGAATGATCATTGAGAACTGTTTATTAATGCATATTGATTCATATTTCACAAATGGGAATTTGGTTTGAAAA